ATTGAGTAGGGTGTGAGCGGGGTGGAACGGATCGGTCTATCTGCTCTGTCAATGTGGGTTACACTGCTAGCCGGGGGCGTATTTACCACAAGGCATTTGCCTAGGGTGGCATTTTTCAGGGGGCAGCACGGCCCCCCGGCTGGGGACCAGGTGGGATCTGAGAGAGGCTGCGGGCTGCTTGGCTCCCATTCCCAGGGACGTTCAGAGCTGTGAAGGTGATTGTCTTTGTCTCTATCGTTGGGAGGGGAGTGGCCGGTGTATGGGGGTGATGGTAGTGGAAGGCTCTCTCTGAAGGGGGTACAGGGGTGTTGTTGGTCAATGTCAGGCTCTTTTTGGGAGGGGGGTAATTTAATTTTGCGTTGCTATGGGCAGCACAAAACCTAAATTCACCACTGCCTCTAGCACTAGTGAGGTTTAGTTAATTGCCCGAAATGTCTCTATCAGGACCACGATCTGAACCCACCATCTCTGCTGCATTCGGTAGTAGCTCTTCTTGCTAAGCCACCTGGGTTACTGGACCAGGATCTGAACCCACCATCTCTGCTGCATTCGGTAGTAGCTCTTCTTGCTAAGCCGCCTGAGATGATGGACCAGGACCGGGATCTGAACCCACCATATCTGCTGCATTCGGTAGTAGCTCTTCTTGTTAAGCCACCTGGGATCCTGGACCAGGACCAGGATCTGAACCCACCGTCTCTGCTGCATTCGGTAGTAGCTCTTCTTGCTAAGCCACCTGGGATGATGGACCAGGACCAGGATCTAAACCCACCATCTCTGCTGCATTCGGTAGTAGCTCTTCTTGTTAAGCCACCTGGGATTCTGGACCAGGACCAGGATCTGAACCCACCATCTCTGCTGCATTCGGTAGTAGATCTTCTTGCTAAGTCACCCGGGATGCTGGACCAGGACCAGGATCTGAACCCAGCATCTCTGCTGCATTTGGTAGTAACTCGTCTTGCTAAGCCACTCGGGTTGCTGGACCAGAACCAGGATCTGAACCCACCATCTCTGCAGCATTCCGTAGTAGATCTTCTTGCTAAGCCACCTGGGATGATGGACCAGGATCTGAACCACCATCTCTGCTGCATGCGGTAGTAGCTCTTCTTGCTAAGCCACCTGGGATGCTGGACCAGGACCACGATCTGAACCCACCATCTCTGCTGCATTCGGTAGCAGCTCTTCTTGCTAAGCCACCTGGGATGCTGGACCAGGACCAGGATCTGAACCCACCATCTCTGCTGCATTCGGTAGCAGCTCTTCTTGCTAAGCCACCCGGGATACTGGACCAGGACCAGGATCTGAACCCACCATCTCTGCAGCATTCCGTAGTAGATCTTCTTGCTAAGCGACCTGGGATGATGGACCAGGACGGATCTGAACCCACCATCTCTGCAGCATTCGGTAATAGCTCTTCTTGCTAAGCCACCTGGGATGATGGACCAGGACCAGGATCTGAACCCACCATCTTTGCTGCATTCCATAGTAGATCTTCTTGCTAAGCCACATGGGATGATGGACCAGGACCAGGATCTGAACCCACCATCTCTGCTGCATGCGGTAGTAGCTCTTCTTGCTAAAGCCACCTGGGATGCTGGACCAGGACCAGGATCTGAACCCACCATCTCTGCTGCATGCGGTAGTAGCTCTTCTTGCTAAGCCACCTGGGATGCTGGACAGCTCCCTTTCTGATCCTTTGGACAATCCTGCCTTTGTAACTTTGTTTCTGGTGAACCTTGAACTCCTTGCTCCTCCTATGAACTTCCTATTTAAGCCACGCCTTTGCACTTCCTGTTTGTCAGATTGTTGTGCTCTCTCCAGCCAATATCTTGCTCCTTTACATACCAGCAGCTGTCCTTACCTCCACTTCCATTCGTTACCAACCTTTGGCTTTTTCCTCGACTACACGTCTACTCAGGGGTGGACTGACCATTGGAGTACTCAGGCACTGCCCGAGGGCCCGGGGTCAGTAGGGGGCCCCATGAGTTGCCCCTGGCACCTTTCATTGGCTTTTTCATAGGCTTTTTTTTGAGTGTGGGCGAGGACACAAGGGCCCCATGCTCCCCTATTGCCCGGGGGCCCTATGAGTTGTCAGTCCGCCCCTGCGTCTGCTTGATCCCAACCTGATCTACAGTATCTGCTACTGGACCCCGGCTTGCTCACCTCCTGGTGGGGAGATCCTGAGGACCGAGATCTGGTACTAACACACAGCAAAACCCATCCCCACCATTAGGCGTTCTGGTGAATACTGGTCAGTTCTTAGACCCCGCACCTCACGTGAGCCCCTGTCATCCTCCAGGGTGACCTGCTTCTGTATTTATCCCGCTGGTCAGTAGGAGCCTCTCTACTGCCATAGCTACTGGTCTCCAAAGCCTAACCCCTGGCCATGACTATCTGCATCACTTGCTGCCATGCCCAGACAGGAATGTGACACAAGTTTACAATACTGTAGCTTCTTCAAAGAGGCAAGTGTAATAAATAAATACTAGTTGCCAAAGATCAAACATCCTTTTTGGGGTCACCCCCCACATTTACAAAGACAAGTTTCTGTTTCCTTCCTTTCAAATACTTTTAGTCCCTGATGAAATTGGACCCTTTAAGCCCCCCCCCCCCCCATGAATTGTATAGGGTATGAGTGAGTGGCACAGATAAACCTGAAAGTGGATAGACCTGTTCCGTTAATGTGGAGTACTCCACTAATGCTAGTTATTAGTCATGACGCAGGAAGTCTAATTCCCCAAAATGTTTTATCATTCCTTGCCACAACTAGACAGGAATGTAACACAAGTTTACAGTACAGTAGTTTCTTAAAAGTGTACAAAAACACTAGTTGGCCATCAAGATCAAACATTCTTTTGGCATCACTCTGCATTTTGCCAAAACCAGATTCGGTTTCCTTTCCTCCCTCTCTGTTTGTCCTGTTTACCATCATCATTAAAAGTGAAAGTAAATGAAAATCCCAAATTTTGGGTTGTTCCCAGAAAAGTAATAGAGGACAAATATTCCAATGGGGACACTAGTTCTGGTGACCTGGGGGGGCCTGGGGGTCCCCAAGGAATTCCCTTAGTTTGCAGGGATTTCCTCTCACTTCCTGTTTGGCTATGGGACAGGAAGTGAAGGGAAATTTCTCCAATGGGACACAGATGGTAAAAAAAAAAACCTGGCAGGGGTTATTACCATCCCTTACTCTATCCTAAATGAAAAAAAAAAAAAAACAGTTTTGCCTATAGTTCTACTTTAATTCCCCGAAATGTCTTTATCACTCGCTGTCACACCCAGGCAGGAATGTAACACAGGTTTATACTGCAGTAACTTTTTCAAAGAGTCACAAGTTCTTTAATTTCTTATTAGAGCAGTCAGAGATTTATCTTTATAAATATTGTTTTATTGAAAAACAAAAATGTTGCAAGAAATTATCTTAGTTTGCAGGGATTTCCTCTCTCACTTCCTGTTTGGCTATGGGACAGGAAGTGAAGGGAAATTTCTCTAATGGGACACAGATGGTAAAAAAAAAAAAACTGACAGGGGTTATTACCATCCCTTACTCTATCCTAAATGAAAAAAAAAAACAGTTTTGCCTATAGTTCTACTTTAATTCCCTGAAATGTCTTTATCACTCGTTGTCACACCCAGACAGGAATGTAACACAGGTTTATACTGCAGTAACTTCTTCAAAGAGTCACAAGTTCTTTAATTTCTTATTAGAGCAGTCAGAGATTTATATTTATAAAATATTGTTTTATTAAAAAAAAAAAATGTTGCAAGAAATTATCTTAGTTTGCAGGGATTTCCTCTCACTTCCTCTTTGGCTATGAGACAGGAAGTGAAGGGAAATTTCTCCAATGGGACACAGATGGTAAAAAAAAAAAAAACTGAAAGGGGTTATTACCATCCCTTACTCTATCCTAAATGAAAAAAAAAAACAGTTTTGCCTATAGTTCTACTTTAATTCCCCAAAATGTCTTTATCACTCGCTGTCACACCCAGACAGGAATGTAACACAGGTTTATACTGCAGTAACTTCTTCAAAGAGTCACAAGTTCTTTAATTTCTTATTAGAGCAGTCAGAGATTTATCTTTATAAAAATTGTTTTATTGAAAAAAAAAATGTTGCAATAAATTCCCTTAGTTTGCACGGATATCCTCTCACTTCCTGTTGGCTATGAGACAGGAAGTGAATGGAAATTTCCCTAATGGGACACAGATGGTAAAAAAAAAAAAAAACCTGACAGGGGTTATTACCACCCCTTACTCTATCCTAAATGAAAAAAAAATAAGTTTTGCCTATAGTTCTACTTTAATTCCCCAAAATGTCTTTATCACTCGCTGTCACACCCAGACAGGAATGTAACACAAGTTTTGTACTACAGTAACTTAACTTCTTCAGAGTCACAAGTTCTTTAATTTATTATTACAGCAGTCCAGAGAGAGATTTATCTTTATAAATATTGTTTTATTGAAAAAAAAAATGTTGCAAGAAATTATCTTAGTTTGCAGGGATTTCCTCTCACTTCCTGTTGGCTATGGCTGCGTTTGCATACCGTGTTTATGTACGTTTGTGTTTAGTGTTTTTTAAAGAGAAGTACAGGAGAACCTCCCAAATGCCCAGAATGCACTGAAAAGTGGTAAATTATTAACTATTTCAGACTGTTTCAGAGAAATACAGAGAGTAGAAGCAGAGACAGCAGTATGTGTGGAGATTAGCTGAGGTGTGAGTTGCTCATTAATATTTCTTTTGTTACCAAGGGCGGGAAAGGTGTCTGGTGGAGGGAGTTATTAAGGTCACCTGGCAGGGGGTCTTCATGAGGAATTTGAGGTGTGAATGGGCATTAACATATCTTTTATTTCCAAGGGTGGGAGAGGTCTCAGGTGTGAATTGGTCATTAACATATCTTTTGTTTCCAACGGTGGGAGAGGTCTGAGGTGTGAATGTACATTAACATATCTTTTGTTTCCGAGGGTGGGAGAGGTCTGAGGTGTGAATGCTCATTAAAATATCATATTTTGTTTCCAAGGGTGGGAGAGGTCTGAGGTGTGAATGGTCATTAACATATCTTTTGTTTCCAAGGGTGTGAGAGGTCTGAGGTGTGAATGCTCATTAAAAATATCTTTTGTTTCAAGGGGGAGAGGTCTGAGGTGTGAATTGGTCATTAACATATCTTTTGTTTCCGAGAGTGGGAGAGGTCTGAGGTGTGAATGGACATTAACATATCTTTTGTTTCCGAGGGTGGGAGAGGTCTGAGGTGTGAATTGGTCATTAACATATCTTTTGTTTCAAAGGGTGGGAGAGGTCTGAGGTGTGAAATGGTCATTAACATATCTTTTGTTTCAAAGGGTGGGAGAGGTCTGAGGTGTGAATTGGTCATTAACATATCTTTTGTTTCCGAGAGTGGGAGAGGTCTGAGGTGTGAATGGAAATTAACATATCTTTTGTTTCCGAGGCTGGGAGAGGTCTGAGGTGTGAATTGGTCATTAACATATCTTTTGTTTCCGAGGGTGGGAGAGGTCTGAGGTGTGATTTTCTCATTACCATGTGTGACGAGCTTGGTAGGAACATCCTGTGTTCAGTGTTTTGTCCATTTGAGTACCTTGAAAATGCTGGACAGCATCAGGAATTGGAAGAGTTAAAAAAAAAATGGAAACGCTTATAAATGCGATTTTCCACGTTTAACCACGTTTACAAGCATTTTGCATTTGAAACGCTGATAAAATCGACTGCTGAACGCAAATTTTCTGCATTATAAAATGACTGTAAATTCAAATGCCTGTAAAGGACTCTGTGTACACGGACACATCGGAAAACATTAGGGAGAGTTCAGGGGCTGCTGAGAAAAACGCAGAACAGCTCCTAAACGTGCGTTTTTTCAGCTGCAGTGTACACGGGGGCCCTAAATATTTACGTTGTTTAGAATTACGCGATATAATCTGCGATTCCCCTTTAACTATTATAGATTTAAAAAAAAAAAAAAAAGTTTACTAAAGGCTGCAGAGCAATTGGGGTAAACTTGCGAAGTTTTACCTTTTCTACTGGGAGAGAGAAAAAAACTTTTATTTAAATGAAAATTAGTTTCTCTCGCCTGCGGCCAAACCGAGTCAGTAATTATTATTTTATTGAATTTTAATTCCTAAAATACAACAGGGAGTGTTCCCCTGCAATGTACAGAGCCAAAGACTCGGGAACTTTTAAAACTAAGATCGATGATAAGTTTCTTAGCCATCTCTGATTGGCCTGAAAGGAGTCTTTTCTACCATAATTGTTAGGTCCAGAGTGCAAATAAACGATTAACTGCCTAACGAAAAACGGTGTGTATGGACATTGTACGATCAAAAGTCTGGGAATCCCCCCCTCCAAAACGATAGAATGTTTCCAGTGCAAGGCCCAGGTAATACTCCAGCATACAAAGACATTGTGGACAATTTTGGTTTTCCAACCTTGTGGTAACAGTTTGGTGAAGACCCCTTTCTGTTCCACCATGACTGTTCCCCTATGTACAAAGCCAGCTCCATAAAGACACGGTTCAACTAGTTTGGTGTGGAGGAACTCAACCCTACTGAATACCTTTTCTCCATAAAGATATAATTTGATCAGTTTGGTGTGGAGGAACACGACTCTACTGAACTCATTTTCTCCATAAATACATGGTTTGACCAGTTTGGTGTGGAGGAACTCAACCCTACTGAACACTCCTTTTCTCCATAAAGACATGGTTTGACCAGTTTGGTGTGGAGGAACTCAACCCTACTGAACTCATTTTCTCCCATAGTTTGATAAAGACATGCTACTGAACACCTTTTCTCCAGTTTGGTGTGGAGGAACTTGACCCTACTGAACACCTTTTCTCCATAAAGATTTGGTTTGACCAGTTTGGTGTGGAGGAACTCGACCCTACTGAACACCTTTTCTTCATAAAGATATAGTTTGATCAGTTTGGTGTGTGGAGGTTTGGTGTGGAGGAACTCGACCCTACTGAACACCTTTTCTCCATAAAGACATGGTTTGACTAGTTTGGAGTGGAGGAACTTGACCCTAACTGAACACCTTTTCTCCATAAAGATTTGGTTTGACCAGTTTGGTGTGGAGGAACACGACCCTACTGGACACCTTTTCTCCATAAAGATATAGTTTGATCAGTTTGGTGTGGAGGAACTTGACCTTACTGAACACCTTTTCTCCATAAAGACGTGGTTTGACCAGTTTGGTGTGGAGGAACTTGACCCTACTGAACACCTTTTCTCCATAAAGACGTGGTTTGACCAGTTTGGTGTGGAGGAACTTGACCTTACTGAACACCTTTTCTCCATAAAGACGTGGTTTGACCAGTTTGGTGTGGAGGAACTCGACCCTACTGAACACCTTTTCTTCATAAAGTTATAGTTTGATCAGTTTGGTGTGGAGGAAATCGACTCTACTGAACACTTTTTCTCCATAAAGACATGGTTTGACCAGTCTTCTCATCCAACATCAGTCCTGTCATTGGAGGTTCACGCTTAAAGAATTTTTTCAATAATGGTAATAGGGGTCATCCCACTCCAGGCAGATACTCTATACAGCCTGAGGATGTTGACCCTCCTTCAAATTATGGAGTTCCAGTGAAAGTTATGGGTAACACTACATTGTACAAAGACATTGCAGACAATTGTGCTCTTCCAACGTTGTGATAATAGTTTGGTGAAGACCCTTTGCTTTTCTACCATGACTTTGCCCCTTTACAAAACCAGCTCCATAAAGACTTGGTTTGACCAGTTTGGTGTGGAGGAACTTGAGTGTCCTGCACAGAAGTCTGACCTCATCTTTGAAAGTGTTTTCCCCACCGACCACCCAAGTGTCTGTTCCACCTCAACTCCCCATAAATATATATTGGAGCAAGCCTTAGGAACTCACCACTTCCCGCGGCAACTTCAACACCGCCTCCTCTTTGCCTTCCTGGCTTCACTACTCCAACATCCGATAATGTGGGACACCATGCTCCACTCTCCAGCCAGAGGTCTCGTAACTAGGGTGGTCACAGGTGGTCTGGGGGGTCACCCTCTGTGGATACCTGTCGGTTCCAGTCTTCCGTGTCAGCTGCTTTCCTCCTCACCACAGACAGCATCTCCCAGAGTTCCCCCACAGCTGTCACGTAAGCGCTCCCAGCTTTCATCACTCTGCTTTCGCCTCTCCTCCAGCTAAGAACCAGACTCTCTTCACCCTCCGGAACCACCCTGGGAGCACCGCACCAAGCAATGGCTGCACAGCAGGATAGGATAGGGTAAAGATCCCACCTTTAATTCAGGTTCTCCTGCACATTGTTTTCAGCAGGCCCCGGGCGCTCCTGATCCGTGCACCCTATCAGTGCCATGTTCAGGCCCCTCCTCTTGCTTTCCTTTTAGAACTGTTCCCTCTGGTGACACCATTGTCACTGCAACAGCAAATGAGGGCAAATCTCTCTAACAGAGTCCTGGATACAAAACCTGGAAGTTCTAGCTCATCTCCAATCAAAGAGAATTGTGGCTGGTCATTGTAAAGAATGTACTGTACCATAACACGCAGGTGGGCTCCAGGTACTGACCTCGTCAAACGTCCAAGTCAATCCTCTACCTTTGTCCATGGCCTGAAACAATCTTGCAGCATCCTCCTACTTATGTTGCGAGGTAAACTTAGTTTTTAGCTCCTTCTGTAATCAAGGGAGCAATGATTATTTGTTTCGGTCTATTCAGGGTTTCACAGGCTGGGAGTTTGATTGCTCCCCCCTGCCTCTGGAAGACATTTCCAGGAAGGGAGAATTCAAAAAGCCTGGGAAGGAGTGTCCAGATGGTGGCCAATAAATAGTCTAGAACCCTGAAGAGATTGTCTTTAACTATCTAGAAGAGTTCCCAGCCTTGAGGAGGGGGCTGTTGCCCCTGAGGCAGCCTTAAGAATTGAGTTGCTGTTCTGTGAGGTCTGAGGAAGATGCTGGGACCTAGAATTGGCCTCGATCTACCAGCTAGAGTTCTTCAAGGGATCTGGTCTATAAAAGGATTAGCTCTCTCACTTAGTGGTGTTTGGAGGAACCTGGAAGGTGGCAGCTGTCCTGGGGACATGTGATTAAAGACCCAAAAAGCGATCTCTGTGACTGTATAGTGTTTTCAGAAGTATATACTGGGTACCAGACGTTGTATATTGGAGCAAGCTAACCAGATGCCAACGTGATCTTCAGCTCTGAGGGAAGAGACTGCCCTCTATTCACACTTACTGTGCAGATTGTTCTCCAACTACTCAAATGTCTTGGGGGGGGGTCTCAGTTTGGTATGTTTGCTCTGGGTTCTAGATTACATTGTCCTGGCACTGACTGGTGGCCTCTGTAGTGTTTGAGGAAGAACCAATTAAAATCCACGATCCTTGCAGGGCTAGCGCTAACACATGGAAAAAGTCAGAATGGCCGGTCTGCCTACTTGTTCCAGGTCAGGGAGGAGAGATATCAATTTGTTTGCCAGCTGTATAGAATGGTGGTCCAGCAGCTTGTTAGGGTCCATGGAGGGCTAAATTAGAGTCATTAGTTCATTAGAAGTAGCTTTTCTGATAAATGATGTGAATAGACCCCACCCTCCTATAACAAATGATCAATAGCAACTGTGACGGGAGTGACTTTGGGTGGGGGGCCCATGGAACACAGCTCACATTGGAGGGGTGGGGAGACACCTGTCTCAGCTCCCCATATCCCTCATATGTGTAAGTCACACCCCGTGCCTGCTAGGGGTACAGGGTGGAATGTCCTGATATTGTGTAGACATGTATAGGTGGGGTGTGGGGGTTGTTCATTGTTTACTGCCACGTGGTCCCATTGTTCTATTGTGTGTCTTGCTTGGGAGCAAACTATTATGGGATGTATGTGTTTGTGTATTGTCTACTGCCATGTGGTGTATCCCATGGTTCTATTGTGTGTCTTGCTTGGGAGCAAACTATAATGGGATATATGTGTTTGTACTGGCTTGGTGGGGGGTGTTTCCAGCAGCCCTTCCCCCTGATGGGACGGCCTGCTGATGTGTTTCCTGTTACTGGGTGTATTTCCCCGCCCTGTGTATATATCTTGTATCTGTGTTAAAATAAAGCACTCCACTTCCTGTTTTAATACAAGTCTGGTGCTGTCTCGTCTTGTATGGTCAGTGGTGGGTGTCCGTGGATGGTGTTTGGATGGGGAAGCGGGAGTCTAACGGAAATACCCTAGTGCAGTCGGGGTCCGGTTCCATTACAGCAACAATGTACCCTTGGCCACCACAATAATACTTCCACAAAATAAAAATGTGTTCATTAGCGTCCAACACAAAAGTCCCAAATGGTCTCAATGAGAATGATTGGAAGTTGTTGGGAAGTATGAAGACATCACCAGTTTACATGGGAATTTACCCATGTAAACTGGTGATGTCTTCATACTTCCCAACAACTTCCAATCATTCTCCGAGAAGATTCTTCCTCTCTTTGTACCTCAAAAAAAACCCTCGCCTATCGGGCACTTATACCCCCTTCCAATCCAGGCCAATTTTCAGCTTTCAGCGCTGTCGCACTTTGAATGACAATTACGCGGTCATGCAACATTGTATTCATATGAATTTTTTTTTTGTTCAAACACTTTATTCATTTTCAAAGGATGGAAACATAAGGAATGGGACAATCCATAGACATCTGAACAACACGAAGTGAATTGTCCTGAAAACATAACACAAGAACAAGAACCAGTCCAGACCTCTTCCAAAATGGATCCAGAATGGATGTGATGTTCACGTGTTGACAGTATTACACTTTATATGATTTATATCTTTCGGAGGGTCTTGTTTATTGGGACGATTTTTGGAAGAAGGATCTCAATAATCAACAATTTATACAAAGCAAGTTATTCACCTACTGAGGGTAAGAGTAGGAATTGTGGTCACTGGGTGGACACTTGGGTATTTGGAGCTCGGTTTTGATGTGAGCACACTACTATTGTTCTTGTGTTATGTTTTGAGGATAATGCACTATGTGTAGTTTAACCGCCTCCCGCCCGCCACTGGTAGGCACTGATATGTGGCGGTTATCGGCATTTCTCTCCTCTCGAGCTGTCACGCTGACAGAGGAGAGGAAAACTGGTAATCGGCATTCCTCAGAGAGGACATGTACACTGATCATCAGGGCACTGATGATCAGTGTGCCCTGATGATCAGTGTAGCCCCAGCAGTGCCACCTGTCAGTGCTCATCAATGCCAAATCAATGCCACATATCAGTGCCTGCCAGTGCACATCAGTGCCCATCTAAGCTGCCTTTCAGTGCCACCTATCAGTGCTGCCAATCATTTCTGCCTATCAGTGCCAGTCAGTGCCGCCTATCAATGCTGCCTAACAGTGCCAGTCAGTGTCACCTAACAGTTCCAGTCAGTGCCATCTATCAGTGCCACCTATCAGTGCCACCTATCAATGCCAGTCAGTGCCGCCTATCAGTGCCCATCAGTGCTGCCTATCAGTGCCGCCTAACAGTGCCAGTCAGTGCCATCTAACAGTGCCAGTCAGTGCCACCTAGCAGTGCCATATATGAGTGCTGCCTTTCAGTGCCGCCATCAGTGATGCCTGTCAATAACCCATCAGTGCCACCTACCAGTGCCATATCATCAGTGCCCATCAGTGCCACCTCATCAGTGCCCATCAGTGCCCAGCCGCATTAGCGCACATCAGTGAAGGAGAAAAATCACTTATTTACAAAATTTTATAACAAAAACTAAGAAAAAACGTTTTTTTTTTCACAATTTTCAGTTGTTTTTGGTTTGTTTGCCAAAAAATAAAAAACCCGAGGTGATTAAATACCACCAAAAGAAAGCTCTGTCTCAAAAAATGATAAAAATGTCATATGAGTATCCCCCCTCTTCCCCCTTACCCTCTCACACCAGTTTTTTCTTTTTTCTTTCCCTAGCACCCCCACTTGGGGATAGCGCCCCTGTAACCTCTTTGTACTATGCCTGCATACAGCTCTGCCTTCTTTCAGTCATCCAACCGGCTGCATTTTGTATTTTGGTGTTTTTCTCCCCACCCCCATATGGACACCATACCTGTTTTCACAAATTGTTTCGTTCAGATGTCTATGGATTGTCCCATTCCTATGTTTCCATCCTTTGAAAATGAATAAAGTGTTTGAACAAAAAAAAAATTCATATGAATACAATGTTGCATGACCGCGTAATTGTCATTCAAAGTGCGACAGCGCTGAAAGCTGAAAATTGGCCTGGGAAGTAAGGGGGTAGAAGTGCCCGGTAGGCGAGGGGTTCATTTTTTGAGGTACAAAGAGAGGAAGAATCTTCTCGGAGAATGATTGGAAGTTGGTGGGAAGTATGAAGACATCACCAGTTTACATGGGACTTTATTGAGACCGTTGGGGACTTTTGTGTTGGACGCTAATGAACACATTTTGATTTTGTACTTCTTGGGTGGAAGTATTATTGTGGCAGCCAAGGGTTCATTGTTGCTATTGATCATTTGTTATAAGAGGGTGGGGTTTATTCTCATCATTTATCACATAAACTACTTCTAATGAACTAATGACTCTAATTTAGCCCGCCATGGACCCTAACAAGCTGCTGGACCGCCATCCATACAGCTGGCAAAGAAATTGATATCTCTCCTCCCTGACCTGGACCAAGTAGGCAGACCGGCCATTCTGACTATTTCCATGTGTAGCGCTAGTCCTGCAAGGATCGCGGATTTTAATTGGTTCTTCCTCAGACACTACAGAGGCCACCAGTCAGTGCCAGGAAAATGTAATCTAGAACCCAGAGCAAACATACCAAACTGACACCCCCCCCCACCAAGCCAGTACAAACACATATATCCCATTATAGTTTGCTCCCAAGCAAGACACACAATAGAACCATGGGATACACCACATGGCAGTAGACAATACACAAACCCATACATCCCATAATAGTTTGCTCCCAAGCAAGACACACAATAGAACAATGGGACCACGTGGCAGTAAACAATGAACAACCCCCCACCCCACCTATACATGTCTACACAATATCAGGACATTCCACCCTGTACCCCTAACAGGCACAGGGTGACTTACACATAATAGGGATATGGGGAGCTGATACAGGGGTCTCCCCACCCCTCCAAAGTGAGCTGGGTTCCATGGGCCCCCCACCCAAAGTCACTCCCGTCACAGTTGCTATTGATCATTTGTTATAGGAGGGTGGGGTCTATTCACATCATTTATCAGATAAACTACTTCTAATGAACTAATGACTCTAATTTAGCCCTCCATGGACCCTAACAAGCTGCTGGACCGCCATCCATACAGCTGGCAAACAAATTGATATCTCTCCTCCCTGACCTGGACCAAGTAGGCAGACCGGCCATTCTGACTTTTTCCATGTGTAGCGCTAGCCCTGCAAGGATCGTGGATTTTAATTGGTTCTTCCTCAGACACTACAGAGGCCACCAGTCAGTGCCAGGACAATGTAATCTAGAACCCAGAGCAAACATACCAAACTGAGACCCCCCCCCCCCAAGATACTTGAACAGTTGGAGGACAATCTTCACAGTAAATGTGAATAGAGGGCAGTCTCTTCCCTCTGAAGACACGGCTCAGTTTCCCTTTAAGATAGAATGAGTTGCCGGAGAAGCAGCTAACCAGTTCACAGACCCGGTGTCCGGAGCCATGCTCCCCTTTCTGCTTCTTCTCCGGGTTCTGCTTTTTAATTTAGAATTTCAATTGTCCTCCTCTGATCTACAATTTAATTTCCAGTTAGCCTCGGGTTATAAAACCGGCGCCGCGTTCCTGAGACGCTTCTTCTGTCGTATTTTCACAAAGTAGAGTGCGGCTGGCGGCCCTGGGAGCTGGTAGACCCAGCAACTGGTTGGCTTCCGTGGCTTCTCTGTACCCAGCTACTTCCTTCCTTCTGACTTTTCCTGTAGGACCGTTTCTGGAGCATAGCCCTCCCCCATTATGGAACCAACTTTTTTTTTCCTGATTTTGGCAGACGTTCAGCTTGCATCTCTGGGGGAGGGTGCGGTGGTTGGTCAGATTTTGTTGGTCTGATTTAAAAAAAAAATAGAACATTTTAAAATAATGTTTTTTTTCCTGTTATTTTGATTTCCAACACTTCTCTTGGGGTTTTTTATAGAAAAGTTCACATAGGTATTCATTGAGCAAAACTACTGGTATGTGCAGGGGCGGACTGACAACTCATGGGGCCCCCGGGCAATAGGGGATCATGGGGCCCCTGTTTCCTTGCCCAAACTCAAAAAAGCCTATGAAAAAGGTACCAGGGGCATCTCATGGGGCCCCCTACTGACCCCGGGCCCTCGGACAGTGCCCGAATTTCCAAATGGTCAGTCCCCTGAGTATGTGCATTCTGTGGGAGTGGGGCAAAATCCTTCTATGTCCTCTAATGTTTGAATTCTGTTCATTCAAAAAAATCAAGCATTATGGCCAACAGATGGAGTTGAAGGTAAATTGCATCACCTGGGAGACCCCGCCCGCCCCCGTCTTCTGCTGGCCCTGTGATTCGCTGCGAGGCAAGCAGATGGACTAGGCATGTGCTATGCACGCTGTAACGGAACCGACCCAGACTGCGCTTGGGTACTTCCGTTAGAATAACCGCTTCTTCTCCGTCCGAACACCAACCACTGACACCACCATTGACCATACAGGACTAGATGACACCAGACTTGAGGTAATCGAAAGGTAAAACTACCGTATTTGACGACGACTTTTGAACCCGTGAAAATCTTTTGAAAAGTCAGGGGTCGTCTTATACGACGGTATAAACGGCGAGCCGGTGTCAGGGCGGCACTTTTTCGAGGGGCGGCGCCGCCCCCCCTCCTCCTCCAATGGACACCAAGTACAGGGGTGGGCAGAGGGGCTGCTGTACCTTACCTGGCTGGCGGTCCCGGTCCCACGACGATCCGGTCCAGGAAGCGCGGCTGCTCCTTCTTTCAGTTCGGCCGCTCGATGGTCCCCGCCGCCCGCTCCGGCTCCGCCTCCTCACCGGTGATTGGGCGCCAGCACTGGAAAGGCACACAGGCGACCAATCACCGGCGTGGAGGCGGAGCCGAACGGCCCCACGAAAATCAAGCGGCCAAACTGAAAGAAGGAGCAGCCGCTCCTCTCCCCCACTGACACTAACGATGGAGCACTATTCCTACTCCACACTGACACCAACGATGAGGCACTATTCCTCCCCCACTGACACCAACGATGGGGCATCATTCCTCCCCCACTGACACCAATGATGGTGCACTATTCCTCCCACTGATATCAATGATGGGGCACTATTCCTCCCACTGACACCAATGATGGGACACTATTCCTCCCACTGACACCAATGATGGTGCACTATTCCTCCCACTGATATCAATGATGGGGCACTATTTCTCCCCACTGACACCAATGATGGGGCACTATTCCTCCCACTGACACCCAATGATGGGGCACTATTCCTCCCACTGATACCAATGATGGGGCACTATTCCTCCCACTGACACCAATGATGGGGCACTATTTCTCCCACTGACGCCAATGATGGGGCACTATTCCTCCCACTGACACCAATGATGGGGCACTATTCCTCCCACTGACACCAATGATGGGGCACTATTCCTCCCACTGACACCAAATGATGGGGCACTATTCCTCCCCACTGATACCAATGATGGGGCACTATTCCTCCCCCACTGACACCAATGATGGGGCACTTTTCTCCCCACTGATACCAATGATGGGGCACTATTCAACCCCCACTGACACCAATGATGGGGCACTATTCCTCCCCACTGACACCAATGATGGGGCACTATTCCTCCCCCACTGACACCAACCATGGGGCACTATTCCTCCTCCACACTGACACCAACGATGAGGCACTGTTCCTCCCCCACTGACACCAACGATGGGGCACCTATTCCTCCTCCCCACTGACACCAACGATGGGGCACTATTCCTCCTCCCCACTGACACCAACGATGGGGCACTATTCCTCCTCCCCACTGACACCAATGTTGGGGCACTATTCCTCCCCCACTGACACCAACGATGGGGCACTATTCCTCCCCCACTGATACCAATGATGGGGCACTATTCCTCCCCCACTGACACCAATGATGGGGCACTTTTCTCCCCACTGATACCAATGATGGGGCACTATTCCTCCCCCACTGACACCAATGATGGGGCACTATTCCTCCCCCACTGACACCAATGATGGGGCACTATTCCTCCCCCACTGACACCAACAATGGGGCACTATTCCTCCCCCACTGACACCAACCATGGGGCACTATTCCTCCCCCACTGATACCAACGATGGGGCACTTTTCTCCCCACTGACTCCAATGATGGGGCACTATTCCTCCCCCACTGACACCAATGATGGGGCACTTTTCTCCCCCACTGCACTATTCTCCCCCAATGATGGGGCACTATTCCTCCCCCACTGACACCAACCATGGGGCACTATTCCTCCTCCCCACTGACAACCAACCATGGGGCACTATTCCTCCTCCCCACTGACACCAATGATGGGGCACTATTCCTCCTCCCCACTGATACCAATGATGGGGCACTATTCCTCCCACT